GAGAATTATGTGGGGGAAGTTGTTTGAAATTCTTAACCCAAGACGAATTCTATAAATTTAGATCGGCTATAAAGAAATAAAGTATTAGTTTGATTTGGATTTTAATAAAAAAAATACCATGATAATCATGATATGGTTACTACATAAAAAACGTGACGCACCAAAACTCGTTTTGTGCTAATACCTTATAGATATATATTTTAAAAATAAAAACAACATAACAATAACAAAGGAAAATGTAGTTATAAACACTAAGTAGTTTTCAATAGATCAAACATTTTGAAAGACCTCATCATATACAACTTTCAAATTTTTGTTTTGAGGCTTCCCATCTTTATCAGTGAGTTTAAACAAATGTTTGCAATAATTAAATTAGATGTATTGAAGGAAAATAATATGAACTCGCAAGAAAAAGCAAAATGTCACCGTGAACATGCATGTGTCACAACAATCTCTTGTACTTTGAGTCAAACGATACCAGAAAACCTAAGGTTGTGCGGGTAAAAATGGTCGTCTTCATATTTTTATCATCTTTGATCTTGGTGTAATGACAACAACAATTTCCAGAAGACTGTGATACAATAGCAGTTAGTTCATGTGCAGCAAAATACTACATATGAGAAAGAAAAGATGTCTTGAAATTCAAAATTATAGCTTTTTCGGTTGGAACTTTAATTATTTTTTGCCTACTTCAAACTTTTGCTGAGACAAAGAGGCATATAATATAGATTTGTTGAGACAGAAATTAAATCCTTACTCTATCTAGTAGAGAAATTGGCCACACAAAAAAAGGAAAAAATCGCAAGGATTTAGCAAGACATCTAACCGATCAAGACTCAAGAGCTACAAAACTTTGTTGATGCATGTAATCATTGTATTAGGCAATACACCCTGCTTCTAGTTGATCCTTCTTCTCCAAGAATGCAATTGAAACAAAAAATTATAATTGATGTTTTCTAGCGAAGATGTTCAATCTTATTATTCTTCTCTCTTCCCCATGTTTATCTCATGAATCTAAAGCTCTTTGTGCACCTCCGCCTCTTTTTTATTTTTCTTCTCTTCTCCTATCTGTTTCACATGCACCTAACAAAGATCAAAGATATATAAAACAACTTCGTAAGCTCTTTTTCTTCTAAATATGCCCAAATTTGTTTTTCGAGATTTCAGAATTGTAATGAAACATCGAAACAAAGATCTCTTATTTAA